ATTATCGTTGAAAGACGAAAGGAAATCCTCATATTGATACATGTTTAAATGCAATCTAAGCTTTCGGCTTGCATAAGTCATTATCAAAGATGACAATTTCAATAAATCAAACAACATACGGACGAAACAACAATGATAGTCCATCCTTGTTGCATGAAAAATTTCCAAGTAACGACAAACTCCTATATACGAGACTCGGAAGCGAAAATTGCGTCGCAGCTCGTGACGTCACACATGACCACGCGAGAGTGAAAAACGTGAAGTGTTAGGTATGGAAAGCCGTTGGTATAAACCAATGGCTTCTGTTATAAATTATAGACATTTAAGGATAACAAAGACATGGATTGGAGGCAGGGTCTGCTAAGTTAAGGGTAGTTGTTTGTTTTGAAGGGTTGAATCCTGTTTTGGGACCAAATGATCCGTTGAGGACATTTCAGTATTTTTAAGAGAGTCACGAATAAAAACGAGACCAAATAACAGAAACCACATCACCTGATGAATTTCAAATGCAGCAAAAACAAAAAATTGATTGCGTATGTAGCTAAAAGAGAAAGTAATAAAATAATAATAAAAAAACTTGATATTCAACACTACTTAAAACGTAAGGTTAGGAAGGAAACTTCCATCAAAAGTAGAAAGAGCAATAACAGCAACTGGACTTGAGAAACATATTTTCCTGACAAACTGTTTTAAGAGAAACTTTCTATAAATTTCAAACGAAAGCAGAACTGACTGCTCGGTCAATTAATACGAAAAGTTTATTTTTCATTTAACAATCTGAGAACGGCCCTGACTTGAAAAGTACCGACTCTTCAGACAATTAATACCAAATGTTTCCTTTTAGAGAATTCTCTTAATATTATCATTAACATGTTATTCTATGTTTATGCTAATTTTCATTGGCTGAAAAGTGCTGACTACGCCGTCAATTAATGTTTCCTTATAGTTAAACGGTTAATAATACCATTACCAGGTTATTTTTCTTATAACAATCTGGATTTGGTCTTGGTTTGAAAAATACTGACTATTCGGTTAATTAATACTAAATGTTACCTTATAGGGTAACGGTTAATAATACTATTAACATGTTACATTCCTTGTAACAATCTGAGAATTGTCTTGGATTGAAATGTACTTACTGCTCGGTCAATTAATACTAAATATTTCCTTCAAAGAAAACGTTTAATAATATCATTGCCATTACCATGTTATTTTTCATGTAACAATGAGAATGGTCTTGGCTTGAAAAGTACTGAATGTACTGTCAATTAATACTAAATGTTTCCTTATAGGGAGACGGTTAATATTACCATTACCATGTTACTTTTCTTGTAACAATCTTTAGAATGGCCTTGAGTTGAAAAGTAATAATACCTAAGTATTAATACCTAATTTTTTGTTAAACGGACTTGTCATTTCCGTTACCAAGTTATTGTTTCTTTATAGGGAAACGGTTAATATTACCATTACAATTACCATGTTACTTTTTCTTGTAACAAACTGAAAATGGTCTTGAGTTGAAAACTACTGACTGATCCGTCAACTAATACGAAATATTTCCTTTTAGAGAAATGGTTAATATTACCTTTACCATTACCATGTTATTTTTCTTATATCAGTTTGAGAATGATCTTGGGTGAAAGGTACTGAGTGCTCGGTCTGTTAATGCCAAAAGTTTTCTCATAGAGAAACGTTTAATATTACCTTTACCATTACCATGTTACGTTTCTTGTAGCAATTTGAGAATGGTCTTGAGTTGAAAATTACAGTGTATTAGTAAATCTGTGTAATTTAAAAGGATCTTGCCAGTTTTCCTGATTACATCTTTCTCTTTAAATCACATGTGTTCATAGCTTTACAACAAAGTTTGTTTTAAAATTTAATGTAAAGATTAATATGACATGGAACTATAACCAAAGCGTCACGAACAGAAATAGAATCGTTAAGTTCTGCAAAAAAAAACAAATTTACCACTTTACACTGATGTTTTTTTGTTTTTGGGGGGTTTGGGGGGGTTCTTTTTTTTAACCCAGCGACTGCATTAGAGAATTTTCGCCAGAAGGCTGATGATTATAGAATCTAGAGCCACTTGGAATAATTAGATGTTTCCGGAGTCTTCGCCGCCATGATGACAACGAGTTTCTCTGGTATTAAAATAGCCGCTCGTTCTCGTCTCCTTTCATTTTGACAATTAATTAGGAAATAACAATCATCTGCGATACAGCTGCAAAATTTCCTCACAGGTTGTTAGGCGGCCGAGGGTTTTACAACATGTGAATGTACAAATTATATATATATATATATGAAGAAATTTTGAAAAAACAAACAAAAATCCTTAAATGTAGTTAAATGAAAGAAATGTCGACGTCTGACGTTTCGGTTTATTAAACCTTTTCAAGACAATATTCATCAAAATACAATTCAGTTCAATATGACAAATACGATGGACATAAAAACACAAGTCTTATTCAGAACAGATAACTGAAAATTTTAAAATGATCAGCCTTCCGTCTAACATGGTCACGCTGTCGTCACATGGGCGACGCTTTCATAACGTATTCCTAAAAGTTTGTGATTATTTTGAAATGAAAAGAAAAAGAAAATGAAAAGAATTCTATTAGGTTCCAAAATTCTTATGTGTATGCTTGTCGAGCATCAATCTCGCTAAAAAAGGGGAAATATTAAAGAAACCAGGTCTAGTATTCACTGTGCGTGAGATGGATATTATTTCTGCTTCATAAATCCTTCTGAGATTTTTATTATGAAAATATTTTAATACTTTCACGGAATCGAAATCGAATTATGATCTGCTTTAGTTGTGTACAACTAAAGCATTGTTAAAATTACCGAGACGAATATCTCGTTTATGTTCGAAAACACGAGATTTTAAGGACCTACCTGTTTCACCCACATATTTTAGGTCACAATTTTTGCATGATATTTGATAGATGCAAGCATCGGATGTAATATGTTGTCTGTTGGTGCTATTTAATAAACTACGGATAGTCCTAGTAGGTAATATAGTAGTTCTAATTTTTAATGCATTTAGATTATGAGAGATACGTTCGGTCAAATGGTTATTTGGTAAAAAGATGCGACCAAACGAAATATTATCAGAGGTAGCTGAAATTGTATCTTTCATTGATCTAATTGTAGTGGCCTTTGAGGTGTCATTTTGCGCTGATGAGTGAATTTTCAACGCTTTATTATTTTTTAGCTCTCTGTAATAATTGTCTCGGATACGAAAGATTTGAAAAAGGTATCCTCAATATATGTAAATTCATCATTTAAATATTTTGATGAACAGATGCGAAGAGCCCTCAAATAGAATCCAATAACAATACCCCTCTTAGTGTTAGTATCATGGTGAGAGTAAAATGTAAATAGTCATTTTTTACATGTAGGTTTACGATATACTTTGAATTCTAATTTATTTTTATTTTTTAATGAGTAATATGTCTAAAAAGGTAAGGAATTATTAGATTCAAGTTCATAGGTAAATTCAATAGTAGGTTCTATTCTATTTAATCTATCAGTAATCTGTTTAAATCATGCTATGTGGGTAGATAAATAAAATGTCATCGATGTATTGAAAGTAATGTGTATCAGGTGGAATGACATCTTTAAAAGGTCCAGATTCAAGAAATTCTAGAAATATGCATGCTAGGAATCCAGAGAGAGGACTCCCCATCGGTAAACCAAATTTTGTTTATAATAAATATTATTATATTGAAGAAACAATGTGAAGTGCAAAGGATGCATAATTTGATGCATTTCGAGATAGAGATAGGTAGCTTAAAGTCAATTTTTCTTAAGGTGGTTCTCTAATTGTTTAATGCATTTATCAACAGGTATATTAGTATATAAAGATTTGATGTCTAAGCTAGCTAGTAATTTGTTATCTATATCAATATTTCTCAACTTATTTAAAAAGAGAGCCTGAATTCTTTATATGTGCGTTACTTACGGTGCCCAGAATTGGAGTTAGAAATTTAGTTAAATACCTAGCGATATTATGAGGAGCTGAGCCTATACCTGAGATGATGGGCCTTAATGGAATGTTAAGCTTATGGGTTTTGGGGGAGGCCATAAATTTTAGGGACGGTCGGGTGGTAGTTAATAAAGGAAAGCCAAATCTTATCTTCATTACATATGAGTTTTTATAGGACCTATTAAATTCTTTTAGATTCTTAGAAATTTGTATAGAGGTGATCTGTTCATAAGTGTCTCTGTCATTAAGCAAGTCCAACATTTTCTGGTTGTAAGCAATGGTATCCATGACAACAACACCGCCTCCTTTATCAGAAGGAGATATAATAATGTTATTATTCATAGACAAGGATTTTAAGGCATTCATATACCTCTTAGGTAAATTGAATTCCATATTTTGGCCATTAAAAGAGGCAGCTAAAATGCCTTGGGTAAAACCTTTAAGGAAGTCAGAATCACTATGTTTGTAGTTTATATTTATCAGTTTGCTAATATTGTGGTCTTTTGAACCAGTTGCAAACTTTAGACCAAAACTAAGGGCTTCAATCTCCAAAGTGCTGAGTGTGGTTTTGGAAACATTGGTAACTAGATCCGTTCTACCCATATTCTTCCAACAGCTGCGATCACATAAAGTATGGAATTTTAGTTTTAAACTCCTGATGTGTTTTTGATTAATTCTGGTCACTTCGGATCGAAGTCTCTCCGCTGTGATGCGAGACATGCTGTTTTTCAATTTTAGTTCACGTCCTAGAAGTGTGGCTTTTAAAAACACAAGTTAGACGGAAGGCTGATCATTTTAAAAATTTTCAGTTATCTGTTCTGAATAAGACTTGTGTTTTTATGTCCATCGTATTTGTCATATTGAACTGAATTGTATTTTGATGAATATTGTCTTGAAAAAGGTTTAATAAACCGAAACGTCAGACGTCGACATTTCTTTCATTTAACTACATTTAAGGATTTTTGTTTGTTTTTTCAAAATTTCTTCATTCTGTCGGATTTATATCCATTTACACTTGCTTATATATATATATATATATATATATAGAGAGAGAGAGAGAGAGAGAGATAGATAGATAGATAGATAGATAGATAGATAGATAGATCGTAGCATCGTGGTGAGCGTCATTTGGAGATTTTAAGCATCTTTTTTCAAATAGATATTATTATATATATTTTAACTGATTTAGATAGATAGATAGATAGATAGATAGATAGATATTAGCTGATTGAGAGAGAGAGAGAGATATTAAATGATTGATATAGATAGATAGATAGATATTAGCTGATCGAGAGAGACATATTAGATGATTGAGATAGAGAGAGAGAGAGTGAGAGAGAGAGAGTGAGAGAGGCAAACAAAGAGAGACAGAGACACACAGACAGAGAGACTGACAAAGCACTGCCATTAAGCTTTTTGTTAAATTTTTCTTGCATCCGTACAAGTGATTATTTTCTTACATTCGTATAAGTGATATATATATATATATATATATATATATATATATATATATATATATATATATATATAAGTTAACATAGAAGTCAACACTTAGAGGCGACAGTCTGTTTCATGCTAGATGCAATCATCAGGCCTGAAATATTAAAGAAGCCAGTTAGGCATAATATCTATCTCACGCACGGTGAACACTAGACCTGGCTTCTTTAATATTTCCCCTTTTCTAGCAAGATTAATGCTCGACAAACGTACATATAATTTTTAGATTAAAATAAAATTGTTTTCATTTTTCATTCAAAATAATAAATTTTAGGAAAATGTTTCCACAACATCGCCCACGTGACGCCGACGTCATCATATTGAAATGGAACGCTGATCTTGAAAAATTTCAGTTATCTGTTTTGATTAGTCTTACTCTTATGTCAATCGTCTTTTCATGTTGAATTGAATATAGTCTAATGTTAATTATGTTTTATGAATATGTCCTGAAGATGGTCTACTAGACCGAAACGTCCGACGTTGACATTATATTAACATTAAAACAGCATAATTGCATATTAGGATTTTTGTTTGTTTTTCCATATATTTTTCTTCACATATATATATATATATATATATATATATGCGTGTGTGCGCGTGTGTGTGTTTCGTTTATGTGTGTGTTTCGTTTATGTGTACGTTGATTTGATTTTATTAGTTTTTTTTTAACATATCAACTCGATATGGGTCAGTTAATGCCGAAATTTAAATTTCTTGTGAGCTTTGAAGTAATAAAAATATATATGTTATTCTGCTTTCACAGTTGAATACATGGTAGATGATACTCAGATTTTATGCATATACATGTTTGTGTGGACATAATTACTAAAGGAGGTGATATGTTTGTTTTTATGTTGTAGATTTTTGAAGATATATTTTGTAATACAGTCTGATTTAAGAAATTATAGGATATTATAGAATATTGTTTTATATAAATATGTATTGCTAGTATTTTTACTATAAAAATCTATTTTTATACACTCATATTGAATATTTTTTTTGTTGTTTTTGTTTTTCTTGGGGGTTTACTATTTGCCCGTACTTGAAATTCTAACAGGTGCTGCCACATCGAGTCAGGGTGGACCTGGGAACAACAGCAATTAAGAGGTGGTTACACGCTCCTCAAAACTTTCAATCATACGATCATAGGCTTTGCTGCCGGATGCAGTTTATCGTCATACCCAGGAATGCAAGTGTATGTAAATCAGATGTGTCCAGAAGTATGTAATGATATTAGAAGTTGCGTTTCTCTATCCATTCAGTATCTAATACATAACAATACGTATTTAAATAGACCTGCACACATCTACGTCAAAGCAATGCATATAGAGGCACATATAAGACATAGAGATAAAAAACGAACTGAGATAGATAGATAGATAGATAGATAGATAGATAGATAGATAGATAGATAGATAGATAGATAGATAGATAGATAGATAGAATGACAGACAAGCAGACAGCACAAAGGAAATATAATAAAAAGGAATACATATAGAGGCAGATATAAGATAAAGAGATAGAAAAGGATTGAGATAGATAGATAGATAGATAGATAGATAGATAATGAATACATTCAGATAGATAGATAGATAAAATAGATAGTGTTATAGGACTTTACCCATAATAACATAATGGACTATTCCATACGTAATAAATACTGCGCCTCACGAGGAAGCAGGGAGTTCAGTCCGAAGTCGGGCGACCGGCTGACCGGCTGATCGGTTGAACTCTCTGCCTTCGGGCGGGGAGGAACCCGAACGAGGCTACACCGAAGGGCGGAGTCTCTTTCGGGGAGGTAAACCGACCCTGAAACCCGTTTATACGGTTTCAAAGGGCATATTTTTGGCCGAGCCTTGTGCCACATGATGCCCTCGTGGAGGGGGGTGACTAAATACTGTTCAGCCTGAAGTCTCGAGTGAAGTCCGTCAGGAGTCTGTCAGTCATTCAGAGCGATCGAGTCAGTCAGTCGAGTCAGAGGCAGTCCGAAACAGAGTCGAGTTCAGACAATTACGATTAAACCTGATTGTTCGTACTAACACTTTCTACTTCTCTGCATATATTCCTGTTTGTAATATATCTGTGTTATTCCATATACGTGTTCGAGTTCTTCTTTATTGGTCCTACCTTGGACTATCACAGTGGTACAAGTAACTGGACCATAATAGATAGATAGATAGATAGATAGATAGATAGATAATGAATACATTGAGATAGATAGATAGATAGATAGATAGATAGATAGATAGATAGATAATGAATAAATTGAGATAGATAGATATATAGATAGATAATGAATACATTGAGATAGATAGATAGATAGATAGATAGATAGATAGATAGATAGATAGCCAAAATAAAATATATAAAATTAATACATGTATAGGTACATATAAGATATAGATATAGTAACGAACTGAGATAGATAGATATATAGAAAAACAGACAGATAACAAAAAGTAAATATATACGTGTGTGCGTATACGTGTATAGCTTTAATGACATAAACGTTCGTTTCGTGGGTACACGTGCTTCATTTGGCATCATTTTTTTAAACAGTTAAATTAATTTCCACCGGCTTAGACAACAGAAAGAAAATGTACCTTTCTGTAGGGATGGCACCCATTTTCTTTCTTAATTATATAGACATGTTTATCTACTAAAATAATATTTTACAGAAATAAGATGATGAATTAAAATCCCTTATTTAGATATATTATATACACATACACACACACACACACACACACACACAATATATATATATATATATATATATATATATATATATATATATATGCTCCTGAAAAATTTATTTCGGTTGAGGTCTCTGAGCTCTCCAGGGAGAAAGTGTAAGTTTGTAAACAGTGACTATTACGGCTAATAATGCGTGACTCTTCGTTAAATTGAATCGAGTTCTCTCAGTCATTGTGTGTTTATCTAAAGAAATAAATACGCTTAAATTCACCTTCATCCCTGCCGTGCGCCAATGGCTTAGTGGTAGAATCCCTGACTGACGCCATAGCTTGAGGCAACCGGACATCTAGCTACAAGAATGAGCTGTCATACAGCATAACAGTCGCTCTGTGGATGACTATATATATATATATATATATATATATATATATAAACAAAAGCCGGACAACTTGCCAAAACCTGAAACTTCTATCTAGATACAGTCTCAAACAAAAATCAAGAATACTATAAAAAAAAAGGGGCTAAAAATAAACTTACCTACTCAGTAAAGTAAAATGCTCGTAGATTGCCTAGACCGAGCAAAAAAAAACTCTTACCAACGTTAAACAGCATAATGCTTCATTAAATAAGGCAGGCAAGGTGCTCTGATTAAGTTATATATATATATATATATATATATATATATATATATATATATATATATATATATATATATATATATAGGCAGCGTATCTTCATTTAAACATGTTTCAATTAACAATATAGACACACTGTGCTTATTTATTTTTATACTAAACTTTCCATTTTTGTCGTCAGTTTTTTTTTATGTTAAGATGAAATCTATCAAAGAAGAGGTCGTAGTTTTTCTAACCCAAGTAGAAGCTGAGATGCCAGGTCAGAAGTCATATCATTGCAAATTCTTCTTTGGATTTTATCAAAAATCTCTTGATATAGAGCAGAAACACCAGGCCAAATATAGCAATAGTATTCAATGCTGGGATGAATGGTATACTTTTAAAGTTTACAGATAAATTCCAGTGAGAACAATTGTCTAACATGTCAGACAGAGAGAGAGAGAGAAAGAGAGAGAGAGGGAGAGAGGGAGAGTGTTGAAAAATGAGTACCATCTTAAGCCAATGTCTCGCTTTTACTCTTAGACTTTAATCGCCTTAATCTCTCTCTCTCGCTTTCTCTCTCTCTCTCTCTCTCTCTCTCTCTATATATATATATATATATATATATATATATATATATATATATATATAAATAAAAAAGAAAGCACAGTAAGATATAAAATCCGGTGTTCTTATAGATATTTTATTTTTACAAAATAGTGCTCAATCATATTTTAAATCAATTAATTTATAATATTAATGCTCTGTAAATTTACATTGAGCACTATTTTGTAAAAATAAAAATAGCGAAAAAAAAACATATTTTAAATCAATTAATTTATAATATTAATGCTCTGTAAATTTACCTTGAGCACTATTTTGTAAAAATAAAAATAGCGAAAAAAAAACATATTTTAAATCAATTAATTTATAATATTAATGCTCTGTAAATTTACATTGAGCACTATTTTGTAAAAATAAAAATAGCGAAAAAAAACATATTTTAAATCAATTAATTTATAATATATATATATATATAATTTAAATAGAAAACAGACCACTTTATGGCTTTATAATGGAGCCTTAAATGGTATGTTTTTCCTTTAAATTAAATTATTTGCTCTAACTTATCATTGAGCTCTCAGGATTTCATCCGCTTTTGGATTATCCATACGTATTATCAAGATTTTCGTTACTTATATATATATATATATATATATATATATATATATATATATATATATATATATATATATGTGCAAGCTTCATTAAATAAGGCAGACAAGGTGCTTTAAGTTTTTTATATAATTTCTCATATGATCTTATATTTTTCTTTTCAGTAGATAAATTATATAAAATCTGTTCAATTGTTCTTTATTACCGAACGCTTTCGGCGACACATTTAACCATTTTAAATGTTGATATATATATTAACTCTTAACTAGAAAAAGATTGTGGTATATATGTATTTATATAATGTTTTATTTTCAAAATACAGTCAAGGTAATCAAAGCAGCTTGTATCTCATATTTAATGAAGCTTGCATGAAAGAAGGATTGGTACCTAGTTTTTTCCCATTCTAACTCTCACTCTCTCTCTCTTTCTCTCTCTGGCAGACTAGACAATTTTATCTCTCTTTTACGTTCAGGTTTTTATCTCTCTCTCTCTCTCTCTCTCTCTATATATATATATATATATATATATATATATATATATATATCGCTTTTTCTCATTCTCACTCTTTCGGTCTCCCCTCTCTCCCTCTTGCTCCTTCTCACTTTCTCTCTCTCTCTCTGACGTGCTGAACAATTTTTCTCTCTTTTACTCTCAGACCTTTATTTATTTATTTCTCTCTCTCTCTCTCTCTCTCTCTCTCTCTCTCTCTCTCTCTCTCTCTCTATATATATATATATATATATATATGTGTGTGTGTGTGTGTGTGTGTGTGTGTGTGTGTTTGATCGTTCTGGATTTGTAGGAAAACAGAACTGAAAAGTGAGTACCAGATTAGGCCCTCACTCTCTCTCTCTCTCTCACCCTCTCTCTCTCTCTCTCTCTTTCTCTCTCTCAGACGTGCTAGAAAATTTTTCTCTCTTTTAATCTCAGATTCTTATCTCTCTCTAACTCTCTCTATCTCTCTCTCTCTCTCTCTCTCTCTCTCTCTGTTTAACATTACCTGAGATAAAAAGAGAGAGAGTGGAACCCACTCCCATCACCCCACCCCCACCTCCCGCAATCAAACAGCGAGACTGTTTAAATTCCCTGCCGTCGCGTAAACTGCATCTGGACACCATGTGGGCACAATCGTTACACAAACTCACTTCGACGTCGTACTTTCTTTTCCATTGGCACTTTTCTTTTCTTTTCTTTCATTTTATTTTCATCTTCCCTTTCCTGCTTTCTACAAAAGGTTGCGCACCGACAACCAGACTGTTAACACAAATTCGACAATTTCGGGTTAATTCTCTTCCTAGACGCTGTAATAGATACACAGGGTGGTCCAAAAGTCTTGTCACCCTAACCCTCTCTTCCAAACAGGAGGAGCTCGTGTCAGCCATCTGAAATCGAAAATTATATGATGCTGAATGACAAGACTTTCGGACCAACCTGTACACCAACGTGGTTCGAGCAAGGTGTTTGGGCGATCAAATAAATTGATTTCTTACATTCAATGCGATGAGCTTGAACGAAGTGATTGAATGAAAATCATACACGTCGCTAGTTTCGTGGCTTCGGTACACGTCATAATCATTACGTCTTTGAAAAGGGAATGCAGATTAAGGAACTAGTCTGCGAATACTTCGTCCTGGGTATGACGATAAACTGCATCCGCGTCCTGGGTATGACGATAAACTGAATCGGAAACTAATGGCCCGGTTTGAAAGAACTGGATCAGTCGGCGATCTTTCGGGAAGAGATCCTAAGCGGACTGTACGGCAAAGCGTCCTTGAGGATCCCTCAGCTTCTTCTCGTCGTCCCTCTGCTCAACTAGGCATCGCCAGGACATCGCTTCAGAAGGTTCTGAAACTGGATTTAAAACTGTTTTCATACAAGATTCAAATGGTCCAAACTTTACTACGCCAATATCCTCATGTGTTTGTAAAAGTTATTTTTGTTTTTTATTATTCAGTCATTCAGTGGTCACCCTGTATATGCTGGTCAATGGTGTGTCATAGATAGCAAGGTGTTTTGTCTTATCCTAACGGTTTTAGGGTAAGCGGTAACGGTTATATTTTAAAATATTACAAAGGCTATTGAGTAGAGATCATTATGAAACAGAGTGATCTAATTTGTAACTATTTCACAATGTTCTTTATTAACTTTCACATGTTATTTGTTATTGATTACTTAGTAAACCTAATCGTCCCGTTTGAAAGAACTGGATCAGTCGGCGATCTTTTGGGAAGAGGTCCTAAGCGGACTGTGCGCACTGATGCAGCGGTGAAAGCTCTACGGCAAAGCGTCCTTGAGGATCCCTCAGCTTCTCCTCGTCGTCCCTCTGCTCAACTAGGCATCGCCAGGATATCGCTTCAGAAGGTTCTGAAACTGGATTTAAAAATGTTTTCATACAAGATTCAAATGGTCCAAAATTTACTAGCCCGAGGTACTCACGTGTTTGTAAAAGTTATTTTTGTTTTATATCAGTCTTTCAGTCTAATGAATTCGTTGGAGATTGAAATGAAAATTCGTTGAGATTGAAAAAGAAAAAGTGTGAAAAGGCTAGCATGCATACATAGAAAGAGAGAGAGAGAGAGAGAGAGAGAGAGTGAATGAATAGAAAGAAAGAAAGAAACTTTGCTAATCACTGTGCTGGTATGTTAATCTGCTATTAAATTGCTCCTTAAAATATTCTCTTATCAATCGACTTACATTCTTCAACTTAAAGCTATCCTACTGACCCATTGACAGGTCAAGAAACCAACTTAAATGACCGCAGTTGGCGACGGGACACCTTGTGGTGGTTGAATGATCAGTAAATAGGTCTTGTAAATCATGAGTACTGAGGTCGATCCTTACTGGACGCCCTGTACTTAAATCTTTGTGCCAAAAATAAGTTACACTTTATAAATAGCAACAGCTCTCGCGAGAAGACTAATATGTCATGACTGCTGTTAGCTTCATCTTTCTTTCACTAAAATACGGATTTTACAAGTGCACAGGACTGCATCTTCGGCGATACTTCGTCTTCCAGAGTGAACTTGTTTTTTCTATATCGTCTTTTTGTATATAATTGTCTGGATTTGCGTTCGTATCAAAGCCAAGAAATCAATTTCGAGGTCGAGGTCGACAATTGTCCATCCTGCATATCCTGCACTTACTTTCTACTTTTACAGTTTTTTGATTGATTAATTCTTTTTTTTACGGCGTATCAACCCTTTGCGGGTTATTTAAAGCCAGTAAATATTTTTAGATTGTAAGAATTTGGAGGGTGGAGATAACAGTTTAGTGATACAAGCTAATTAACCCATAGCTGGGGAAAGAAGAGATGGGCCCATACCTTATCAGAATTTGATTAACAAATATAAAGTGGGGGATCAATTATATATTACATGCAATATATAAAGTGAGCACTCACTTTGTGCCCACAATAGTTTCTATACATTACAGAGAATGTAAATAAATTTGTAGTTAATCAGTATTTGATTGATTCTTTTTCTACGGGTTATCAACACTTTACAGGTTATTTAAAGCCAGAAAATATTTTTAGATTGTAAGAATTTTGTTGGGAGATAATAGTTTAGTGATACAAGTCTTATTAATTAACTATAGTTGAGAGGTGAAGAAGTGGATGCATACTTAATCAAATATATGCATTATTTACATTATTCGGACTATTGTCTTCATCTTTGTCGCCACATTTATTACAACGTTTCGGCCGCTGTACGCTCCGGCCTTCTTCAGGTGGTTGGAATGTCGAATTTCTATTTCTCAGCACGCTGCGTAGCTTTTTAGAATGCTTCTTTGCTAGTCCAATGCGTACTTCGGATCTCGCTGCCGTATTTTTTATCATCTGTTAAAACGTTTCCCAGATATTTGAACGTCTGTACTTTTTTGATGTTTATATTCACAAAAAAAATTCACGAACGATAATTTGATTACAAATATAAAGGTATTAGGTATTGTACAAATATATATATATATATATATATATATATATATATATATATATATATATATATAATGGACTCTCACGTCATTTTCGACATATGAATGCCAATCAACTCAGTTCCTAGAAACTGACATACCGTCTCCCTGCACTAATCATTTGGTTATACTGGTGAAGGCGTTGCGCAAAACCAAGCACACTTTTCGAAGACTCGAATACAGAGACCTGGTGCACTGTGTGCCACAAGGTCCGCAACCGATCCTCCGCAGGTTTCCAATTCAGAGTTGTCCTCCTCCTCCTAGACTAGTTGACATTCAAGATTATATAACCCAGTCTGTCCTGCTATTTACCCATAGCTGGGGGAGAAGAAGAGGATTCATACCTTTCCCGAGGGTATTAGCAGGTA